GAGAGAGAGAGAGAGAGAGAGAGAGAGAGAGAGAGAGAGAGAGCAACTGTTGGAACCGAGCCGGGCCGGGCTGGACCGTTGGTGAGTGAGCGCGCGGCCGGTAGAAAAAGAAGATGAGCCCGTCGGTGTACGCGCGTAACATACGACGGAGGGGGTCGTAAGAAGAGTGAAGAAGAGCCCCGGAGGGAGTCCCTCGCTGAAGGAGGCGTGCGGCGCCACGGTGGGTACCGACGCGACGACTCGGTTGCGACTATAAGTAAGTCTCGCGCGGCGCGCCGCGACTTAATGCCGTCGCCGCGTCCGTGGCGCCAAGAGGAAGGCCCGTTGGCGACGACGATAAACCTCCTTCTCGCGCGTTCCCCGCGACTGCAAAGGAGAGGAGAGAGCGAAAGAAAAGAGAGAGGGAGGCACGGTGAACTTATATTCCGTAGGATGGTGTGGATCAGCGACAGTACAGATAACACGTGGCTGTCAGTCGCTGCTGCTACTGTATTGGGTTTCGCCTGCCAGTGTTGATCAGTGATCGGCGGTAGACAGCGGTGTTCGAAAACACCGCGACAACTTGAAATTTTTCGTGCTATGACATTGTGCCAACGTTTATTTCTTAACGAAAAATAGATGGTTATACGGTCAAATCGGACAATTATCGTTGTGAGATCTGTAATATCGTGTGTACATAGTGTACTGAGTGGCAGAGACGAAAAAGAACATTCTGGAAAGTGGTGCTCGCGCAGAGGGTGGTCTCACCGTTTCGCACGTTGTGGAACGTCATTATTTTTCGTTTGATCGCGTACAATCACCTTGACATCATCTGTAATCACACTTTACAGTCAGTACTTTCGCCCGTGTCAAGTGACAGCATGTCCGGGATTCTCTACACGCTGCTTGGCCTCGCGGCCAGCACGAGTCTGCATTGCGCCGTACGCCGCGAGATCAGCCCATGCACCTGCCGACAAGAGGAGTTTTCCAGTCCCGTTATCAACCAGGCGGCGGTGACGGTAGCCGCGTCTACCAGCGGGGTCGCCAACGTGAACAACAATGCTGGCGGTGGAGGAAACGGTGGTAGTGGCCATCATGTAGGGGAGCGTATTGAGGTATTATGTGAGAAGATGAAGTCGTTCGACCAATTGGCCGAGGCATTGAGCGGTAAATTCACCCCCGAACAGCAGATCACCTTGCGAGTAGCGCATTCGAATTTGCGCGACATATCGCGCCACGACTTCAAAGAGTTGCGTATGTCTATCACTCGACTTGAGCTGAATCACGATCATCTTGGGTAAGTGCGACGGAACGAGTGATCTGTCGATGAACTTCATTGCCATCGAAAAATTATTAATGCGTGAACGATAATCTTGAACAGTAAGATTATGTCGAAGTGCCGAAGTCTTCGACGAAGAGACGTAAAGAATCATGGGGGGACGCGCGATAATGACACGATTTATCAGTCACGGTTACTACAACCCACTGTGTATACAGTTATGTAGAGATAACGATGGTTTCGGAGATCATCTGTATTTCTCACAAGTGCGGTAAACATTAACTAAGCAACTTTTCTGTAATCAGCATTCTTTTGCTATACGTCAGATTATTTTTTTTTTTAATTAGTTAAAGATTAAGATACTGGATTAATTCAGTATAGATTGACATAGGACTTGGAGGAAGGCTTGACGGTAAAGCCGATTACCAAGTTGAATTTTTTTTTTTTAAAATTTGACGAAACGACTGAAAAGTCAAATATAAAAATTGAAAGCAATGTTTGTTTATGTTTTTGAAAAGTCAAATGACCTATTTGAATGATCACAGTATACTGTTATCAATATTAATATCAGAAAATTACCTACAATTTTACCTTATTTTAATAATGTTACAAGGATTATAATTATAATTCTTCCTGCTTCTCATCAGTCTTTTAACATGGAATTTTACTATTATATAATAATTTTATTAAACTGACGAAATATATTCATACGAAGAGAGGAAGCAGAGCATAATCTGTATCGAAATTCCACACAAAATTAAAAAATTCCCGTGAAATTTGAAAACTGATTTTTGTATTACAGATCTCAACATTATCAGTTGTTAGATTATGTATACATATTAATTGTTGGATATTAATTTAACATGGATGATCTAGTACAAAATCGAAACGTCATCTTTTATTTAATTGTGATAATTTAAAATTTATAATAACAATTAAGTTAATTATATTTACTTTACAGTAAATATAATTAAAAAAAGTTTTTAAATTTGTAATAAACAGACTATTAGTCCTTTATTTATTTATTACATTGGAAAGTTGATTGAAAAATGCAGGCAATGATAATGAAATGTTGGAGATGGTGCACGTCTGTCATCCGTAGCCGCGTACTCCGCGTAGTCTCCGTCTGAAGTGTGCCACACACGTCGATACGGTCGGCCAGTATCTTTGCAAAAGGTCATCGTCTGCTATTGCGGACATTGAATGGAAGCATTTGTATATGTATAACAAAGAAGCGATCTTAATTCCCACAATGAGTATTTGCGAAGGCGTTCGCGGCGCCATTGCGCACGTTTGAACCGACGTTTGAACTTTCGTCGAGGTGTACGCTGAAAAAACTGTCATGAACGGTGGATCATTATTAAAATCTTACAGCTAATCGTCAAGCTTGATTGTTAATTCCAAACACTTTATAATACGACAGTCCATCCATAAGTAAATTTGTTTATAATTATCTGCAAGTTTCTCGGCATTCATCGTGAGTTCTTTTTTTATACAGCTCCGGCCAGTATTATTACTCTCTAAATTCTTTGAAGTGAAATCTCACTCTAAAAAGTGAAAATTGAGTCTTGAAAAACAAGGGCTCAATTTTTCATTTGTGAGATTTTACTCTTCAAAGTGAGATTTACTCTAAAAGTTTTAGACTAGAGAAGAGATAAAGCTGTAACAAAATAAATAAAGCTGTGACAATAAGCGTGATATGTTGACCAGTACACAGCGGAAGCAGGATATCGTTACATAATGGTTTTATCATGGAGATTGGTGAAGAAAGGCGATAAATCGTCTCAATATACGTCTCGACGAATTCGGTGTAGGAGTTCTCGACCGAGACGATTGCTAGTTTTCCAGTCCATACGTTTGGCTCTCGTTCTGTATTATTCATCTTTCCTCGGCATAATGCCCGCAGTGGCCATCATCCTTTACGAGCGACACAAAGGACGAGTTACCAGTCTTCCTTAATTATCCTGCTGCGCGTATCTCGCATTAAGAAAAAAGATCGATGGTCCTTGAGGACTATAGGTATGTCTCTTTTATAGGAATGCTAAGTATCCTCGCGAGACAGTGGGAGAAGGGACGGGACGTAAGAATGAAATCTTAATCGTGCCTGACCTCTTCGCGCGAGTTATCGCGGGAAGTTGTGTGTGTTTACCGTCGTGGAATAATTAAATAACGAGTCTCGCAGTGAGCCAACACTAAGTGTATAATCGAACGATAACGTCTGGCGCGTCGCCACTTTTTCAGGGCCCCTCATTGGTTCAGCTCGTTGCTCCGGTCACGTATTACTACACAAATGATAAACAACGTTGTAATAGAGGAAAATATGAAATACTACTGCTCTTTGGTGCTAATACAAAAATCAGATCTTTAAAATAAACATCACAAGCGCGGAAATGCCGCTCGCGTGATTACCGTATGTCACATATCGTTTTCCTAAAGTCAAGGACCCGAACAAGCATGCATATCACGATTTGCAGGGTCGTGGACGGTGACGTTTTCGCCGGTCTGGGTCGTACGCAGTATTTGAGTCTCGCAGACAACGAGGTACCTTCGATACCAAGGCACATTTTGACGCATCTGTCATTGCTACGAACTTTAGACCTCAGCAGGAATCGGATAAGCCGCATCGATTTGGATGACTTCAAGGTAAGTGATTAGATTACTTTAACTTTAGAGCTCACACATTACGAAAGAAGAGGATCAAAATAGAGAAAAATAATAAAATAGAGAGGGCGTTGGCACAATAGATCGTAAACCTATTCTTTTAAGCAGAACTTTATGTATTCATTTTTTTCCCTCCAATTTGCACAAAAAAAAAGGAAAGATGAACTGTGCAAGAAGTTCGCTTGAAAAGAACAGACTTTATATATACTCATTCAATCAGTTATGTGTTATCAGTGTTATGAATATTTTGCACAAATTGACAGGAAGATTCTATATTTGCAAATCTAAAAGTGCGCAAATTCTCAAGTGTTATTATGAAAGAGCGGAAGTTAGTTAAAAGTCTAAGAAAGACAATCTTGCATTTAAAAGAGACGTTATTAATAGAAGATAAAAGAAAAAGAATCTTAAATTTAAATAGTAAAAATATAGAAAGAAAAGAGATAGCAAACTCATTACACAACGTCGTGATTTAATGACTTTTTTGTTATTTTAGCACAATCCGACACTTCAGCATTTGGCTATGGCCGGAAATGCGATTTCTGAGATGATCCCGGGTTCGCTACCGCCTCTAGTGAAACATTTACATGTCGGCAGGAATCGTTTGAACAGTCTAAATCATACTCTAAGGTATCTTTTCTCGTAAAGTATATATTTTCTCAGTTCGAGCACGAAATGAAAATGAATTATTAAAATGAATTATTCAAGTTTTAATATTACGATTAATTATATTTAATATTACGAAAAATTATAAACTGCAATATGTTGTTGACAAAAGTATAATCTCCATTATCTTTGAGACTCGCATTCATAGTTGAAAAGTTACCATAGTATTTTACCCATCCTGTTTACTTAGCGTTTAGACACTATGTCTCTTATCTAACTCGTTTCGTCTATGATTGAGCCATTGCATTGTCGCTGATTAAAGGAAATTCCCTGCATGGACTATTGATCATCGACCTTTAAAATCGTACTTGGAAATCTGTGTTCGCTCGGCGGCGAATACGTGGAGCGTAAAGCAGGATTTAGCCATCGCGATTTAGCCACGTGCCCCACTTATTTGCTCTTTGCAGAGATTTGAATCAACTCGAGTGGTTGCTCATTAATTCTAACGAGCTCACGTCACTCGATGGCGAGCTACCATCGTCCGGCCACAATCTCAAGATGCTTTACGCCGCGGATAACAAGCTGACGCATCTTCCGGCCGAGTTCCGATACCTTCACCGTCTGGAGACTCTCTTTCTCCAGCAGAACAAGATCCGAAATCTCGATGGCACTCTGCAGAAAGCCAGGCGCCTAAAGTTCCTGGAGCTCTCATATAACGAATTGCAAGAGGTATTTAGTTCGCGATATTCTTTTTAAGCTTCGATTTCGATCGTGTATACTTGATTTTGTAGCACGAAAGTCGACATGTACTACATAAAATGTTTATTTGTTTGTTCGCGATAATAAAATTTTGTTGTCTAAAGTTTTGTTGCAAAAAGTTTTTTACACTGAATAAACGAATACAGGGGAAACTGTGGGTACTGAAAGACCCGTACCTTGAAAGATATTAATTATTTACTCTTTAATTTTTAGATTTTTCGAAATCCTTGGGACACTAATTAATTTTTTAACAATAATGAGATTTTTAATGTTAGCTGCTCAGTTATATTTACTACTATTTAATTAAAAAGTAATTTTGCTGAAGAGGATTTCAAAGAGAGCCGAAACGTTCAAAAATAAAGATTTTGTATAATGGAAAGTAATCAAAGTTTTGTAATGTGTTGAATCATTGGTCACGTCTGCTTTGACTCTTATTAGCTTTGAATTTATGTTTATTTTTATTTTAAAGATTAAGAGTTTTTAAATTTTATTTTATATTTTTAAAAAATAATATAAGCAAACAGAAAACATTTTATTATTAAAAAATAATTAATGTGTTTAAGGTACATGTTTTTAAGTACATATTTCTAGATACTATAGTCTTCGCTTTGATAGAGAGTAGAATTTCGAGGAATTTAAAAGTGAGAGAGTAAATCTACGAAATTACATCGTCAGGCGAGTGCATTCGGAGCGCACGTGCTCTCGAATATTACGCTTTAACGCGTGCGATATGACGGGGGTGTCAAAAGGAGGAGGCAAAAGCGCGCCGTACATTGAGCCAATTACCGCAACGTAACGTAATTATTACCGCCTTCCGCCTGGCGGAAGGATCTCAACAGTCGACACTCGAATGAAACAGATGGACGTCGCGGTTTTCTCGTTCAAATTGCGTGACACGTCGACTCGAATGGCGTTAATTAGATTGCAGTTTACACACATATTATATTATGAATAGAAATTCAAGATATCTAAATTATGTCTCTTTAGTTGAACGCAGACGATTTCTTAGAAGCCGAGATGTTGGAGGACCTCGAGCTCGGGCACAACTCTCTCAAGTCTCTTGGCGGCGCGGACGGTGATGGAAATGGAAGTAGCGCTCTTTATCCCCTCAGATCGTTAAAGTGCCTGAATTTGACGCATAACGAGCTCCGTGAATTTTCTCTGGCTTCCTTGCGCGGTCTACGTGAACTTAAATTGCTCGATCTGTCGAATAACCGGATCGCCAGACTTCACAGAGGAAGACCGTCCTCCGAGGTAGGTATCTACGTCATCCGATACTTTACGTATCTACGTTATCATCGAGACTGTTTACGTCTGATCTGACGATCGGTCGAAATCTATTCTTGATAGAGTCCGATCGAAACTTTTACCGAAACTGAAAACGAACACTCATTACGTGTCAGTTTTGACTAAAAGCTTATAGCTCTTCTTCATAAATATTAATTATAATATGTGTAATTATTGTTTCAATAATTAAATTATAATGTTTATGAAGAAGAAGTACATACATTCTTTGGTCAAAATGACACACAGAAATTTAATTATTGTTTCAATTGTAATATTTATGAAGAAAAAGTATAATATGATGTATGGGCATGTCTATACATATGGTCTTTGTAAGATTCTTATTTTTTTATTTCGGTTTTGATTAAAATTGACATGTAATGTTCGGTTCGGCAAAAGTTTCGGTCGGACTCTAATTCTTCATGTCCGCAGAATTTGGTGGAAGAAGAGGGCGAGGAGATTGCAGGCAGCACTATCCAAGATCTGCGCCTTCAGCATAACGAGCTGCGTAGTCTAGATGGTTCTCTGTTCCTAGGCATGAAAGAACTGCAGAGGCTCAATCTTAGCCACAATGCGCTGGGCCCTACGATTGGACCGCGCGATTTGCGCGGTCTCGACGGGTTACGCGTGCTCGACATCTCGCACAATCAACTCACCACCCTCGAGGATACGTCGGAGGTAAATATAAAAGTCCACTCGAATTTTCTTTTTGCTTTCCCTTTTCTTTTTCTTCATTCGATGTGCGATATAATCGTGTACCAATTGTACGATCATGATTTAGACGTGGTTACCGTCGCTGGAGGAACTGAACGCGTCGCACAATCGCCTGGTTACGCTGTCCGGTCGAGATTTTCGCGGTTTCCCGGTGCTCTGCTGGGCCGATGTTAGCATGAATCAAATACGTACTCTCATGCCGGAGCTGGTGGCTAATACACGATGCACGATTCACGGAGTCCCCGACGTGCTACGTATATACCTTCAAGGTGAGCTTATATTAGATACACTCTCTCTCTTTTTTTCAAGGCATTTCTCTTCGCAGCCTTTTAGTATCATATTTAACGCTACCGCACGTATTTCTATTCATGCACACAACAGATTGTTTATAATAATATTATATAATAACAAATATTAGAATTGATATTGTATTGTACTTTTAAGATTCTTCTGTCATACATCTCTTAGTGAGCTGAAAAAAAAGGACAACAATGAGAAAAAAGTGATTCATCTTTTTTTTTTAATATTCCAGATATATCTATATAATATTGCTCGATAAAATAACTTAATTAAAGGCGACAAGACACGTGAATTTAATTTTGATATATATCACACATAATCACATTGGTGAGAAAACAAGGCAATGCGCAATGTTATCTATTATTCGGTCAGTATGTAAAAGATTCGTCACAGACGAACGGTAATCGAGTTAACAGTCGTAAACGAAACTCTGATTCCTGTAGAAATCTCCATTCGGTGAGACAACTCTTCGTTCCGTAGAGAATTCTGATGTCTCACAAGCGAATATTAAATTTAATAAGCTATAAATTTCACACTATACTGAAATAAACACATCTAAAGATATATTTATTCTAATTTTATGAGATTGCACAATTTAATATTGCTTCTCTGCTTTTTTCTCACTAATATTGTTTCTTTTTCGACTAGGGGCTGTTCGACATTATTTGATGAATGATTGATGAACGATTAAATTCAATTAGATATTAATAGAAGAGGATAGTACGATGAGTGGCGCCAGCGGCATCGCATAATTAATAAACACCGCTTGTAAGGTCCAGCGTGGACAAACAAACGGTGGGAAGGCGAGCAAGGGGAAAAAGAGTGAGAGAAGGGACTGGTGAAGAGAGCAGCCGGGCGCAAAGGGGACGGAAAATAAATTACTGGCTGATAATCGCCTGGCTCCGTTTGGCTCCCGAGGCGTACATTATTTGTTACAACGGTTACATTTCTCGCGATAACCCCCGCTGCGGCGCCATCTCGATTTATTATATACCGGCGTCTGTCTGTTGAGCTTTGTTATTATTAATGTATCGACTCTGTCTCTTTGCAGCCACGCTATCGTGCCCAATCCCGTTATCTTCTGGCTACAGGTCTCAGCTTTTATTTGACACTTTCTTTCCCTGCTTCGCTTACGATTTCGCACCGAGAAACTCAGAAGACTTGCGACGAGAATTGTAACGTTTAGGAAAGCCTTCGAACCACGAATGTGACAATTGCTATTAACAATTGATATTGCAACTATGCAATCTTTGTTATCACAGCTGGCGCCACATTGTCATTAATCACGCGTGTTTTTACGATAATTTTTTTTTATGATAATTTACGATCAAAATACTGTGACTCTTGAATTTAGGGCTGAGATATAGATATAAAATATATTGTATAAAAGCACAAGATACTACAGGAAAACGAAAAAATCAAATCGCCCGTGATGCATGAACGGGCAAGCTGCATGTATTTCTCATATCTTATTGTTGCTCCACTTCATCGTGTGTCATGCGGTAAGCCCTTACACTCACACGCACGCTTTGTTGTTCGCAGATAATCCCGTGCTGTGCGATGCCGCTCTGGCCGACTTGACCGTCGCGCTTGAGGTAAATCACGCCAAGGTTTACGGGGTCGGCAGCGATTGTCCAACCACGACAACGCCCGCACCGTTGACAATGATCGAATTGACGTCGGCGTTACCACTGGCACCGCTACCGCCGACGCTTCTGCAGTTGGCCGCCGCAGCGGCCGCATCCAGAAGCAACGTGTCCTTCGCTGCCACCCTCGAGTAAAGGCTCCAGCATCGCCGCGGTGCGTGCTGGCCCTATGAGAATAATTGCGTGAGCACCACATCAAGCAGGGTGAAGATCCAATGATGAAAAGGAGGAGAGATCTGAGAAATTCGCGCAAGAACTTAATGTCTTCGTTTGGACGAGATGGCGAGAAAAGCGCGAAGTAGACCACCAAAGTATGAGTGGAACGATTGTTAGAAACGACACGCTGTCTCCGTAGACACCCATTGTAGTGCGCATCGCGTGTATATACATGAAATGTAACATGCTCGAGGATACTTTCGAGCGTTCTTGGAGAATTTCGTTTTCCCAGTGATTTCGAAGGTGGCGGTGTGTTTGTGCGTTTGTCTCGGCACATAAGTAGAGAAGCGATTTTGCACGCTCGGCGATCTCGCAAGTCGCCGAACAAAGAGAAGCACCTTCTTTAGTCGTAGCAAATCTCGAGACGGACCAAGATAGCTTCGATAAGTATGTACACTTAGGAGAAATCTTGCGCATCTAAAAATATCCCGTTGGATATTCGAACGAGGATCACTCGTTTATTTGATAATGGTATCTTGAAATAATTTGAGAAAAATTCAAGATCCAGATTCCTTATGTTGTAAGAGAAAACGAATTGTACTGCGTACTAATAAATTATATTCACTTTTCTGTTTGGTAACAGATGAGGTCCTTACATGCCCATGCATTGTAAATAGTCTTCACCGGCGAAAATTTCCGTGTTTATGTAGAAGTAAGTCTTAAATTTTTCTCTTCGTTGAACGCGCGAAATAGAGAATGGCCGACGTGTCTGCGAAATTCGATATCGCATCGATTGGCGACATGGATTGGCGATTCCATCATGGATTGATTCATTCTTATATTCGCTAAGTATCAATTCGCTCTTTTTCGCTTAAACGTATGCGTTCTCGACAATTGCATTTGCAATATGACAAAGCAATAAAAAATATATATTGAATATCATTGTATTTTGGAAAGGCACGTACAGTGTTTCGAACCCACAGCGGAAATATGTTAATCATCTTTTTTTTTGATAAATTTCCGACATATCACAGAGTGACGATATGAATGAAGAAACAACAGCAACATTTTACAACGTAATATATAACTCGCGGAAGACTTTGGTCTTCACTCAAGTTTTTCGATGGTCATGTATATGCAAATGAATTCCCGACGGGTCAATGGAGCAAATGAAATCTGTTAACTTTATGCCATTGGCATGGGCAGATTGGCAGTGGGCGATCAATTGACTCCTTCATTAACTCGTGCCAATAGGGACGAATTGTTATCAGCATGCCTCTACGCATACATAATGGGATCAGCCCGTCCGTCATCCGCGAACGATGTTCGGTTATTCCATACGCGCGTAAATAATAATATTACGGTAAATATAGCGTAAACGTCCATTCTTCCGAAAGATTCGCGAAAAGAAACACGTCACGAAGCATTCTTCCCTTTAATCAATATTGCAAAATTAAATGTGTTTGTAAATCGAAAATTTCGGTTATATAAATGTAACATGAAAATTTGTAAGATCCTTAAAAAGATTACCGTGCAAATGGCGCCATTTTGACTCGAGATTATTAAATTTATTACGTTCATTATTTTCTACCAATGTAGTTTAATTTTTATTTAACTCTTTTTCTAGTTCTAAGAATTATAAAAGAATCAAGAATAAGTTGAACCGAAATTAAAGTTAATCTACATTGGCAGAAATAGGCATCAATTATACATTTTAAACGGGCATGATTAGTATTTCTTGATTTTTCATATATATAGATATATATACACATGCAGAAGGCAGCCAATAGCACGACTGCTAGCTTAATTTTAGCTAGAATTCAAAATCAAAATAATTTATCTCTATTAAGTATTTTAATGAAGAATAACTTTACGTCGTGGAAAGGCATCGCGAGAATTGTGAAAGAAATGATCAAGTATTACAATGAGCAAATATAACGCCTATCTAATAAGTGTGCAAGTATATGAAATATTATTAAAGATGATCAACGGTATATTAACATTAAGGTCCAAATACTGTACTGATTTTACTTATAAGTGAATTTCTCGCAATGTCTACGACGCAATGTTACATGTGTAGGTACCATTCATATATATATATACATATGTATAAGTATATGTACATATATATACTTATAAAAAGACAAAGCAGAGACCTGTTTATATAATTTTAGCAACTAAGTTATTATTTATCCGCACTGTGATTTGCAATTTGCTC